GTTTTATATCTGTTTCATCCTAAGCACCTAAATTGTTCAATGAAATTAGCATGCAAGTTCACATGTAACAAAAATTCGCTTAACCTGTACTTTGTCACGAGACCAACAAATCAAACAACTGGCCCGGAAAAATCTATATCTTGGATACCACAAGATGCTGCAATTTTCTGTAATCTATAATCGTGAAATAGTTGTTGTTCGTACATCCTTCTGCAAGGGGCGTCGCAAGTATGATTGAGAAACAAAACACTATGATTGCTGCGCCCTTATGAGGGTATGCTTTGACACAATCAATTATAATTTTATCCGTTATCAACATCGAGTCTAATGTTAATGATAATTGTCCTGCTCAAAATAAAGTAGACTCCTTTACATGATTATACGTTGGATGCAAGTCAATAACTTGAGGCAAATATCACTCAGATGGCTTGGTATAGGTCATGCGTTGCAACGAAATGGAAAATCCACGTCATTGAGCTCAAGAAAGTACTAGTAGTTAACAGAGGACATTGCTACAGAAGTGTAGAGGTACACTACAATCTCGTGTAGAACCATCACTTCTGTGCAGAGACATCACAGTTAGGTAGGACAAAGAGCTGAAAATAGCCATCATTAGGGCATCTAATTGACGTCAGCAATATCCTGATTGCTTCCTATTGATTTGAGCTGACTATCCTTTGGACTTCACTTTCACGCACAGTCCTCAGTTCATCGATTCAACTATGCACTCAGAAGCACTAGACTCGAGTTTCGCTCTTATTGGTAAGCACACGCCTTTCATGCGGTGGGTCCGGAGTTCAAATCCCGGACAATACAGTTGGTATGCACTGCTAATGAGCTCCAATAAGAGCTAAACTCGAGTCTAGTGCTTCCGAGTATATGGTTGAATCGATGAACTGAGGATTTTGAGTGAAGATGAAGTCCGAAGGATAGTCAGCTGAAATCAATAAAAATAAAAGATGTCACACTCACAACTGTGAGTCAAATGGGAAATATCCTATTAATCAGTGTGTAAATGGGGCCAAATTTTGAATAATTTACTTAAGGATTCTTGCGCATTGGTTTTAACTAAGAATGTTGCTTCCTATACGGCGCGGACAACATACGTACCTGAGATTGATAAAATAGGGAATAATTAAAACCTGATAAGGCACATTATCAAGTGAAAACTATAGGTGTTGATTGTAGGACCTTAAAAACCGAGTCGACATCACAACAGCTGATATAACCTTGGCGCTATAAACACAAAGCGTCAGTGAAATGTTTAAAGTGAAACTTCCTATCAATCACCAAAATGATAACAATTTACATAAGAGGAATATTCGTATTTAACTCACAGTTACTTGTGAGTAGTGTGTGTGGGATGATCGATATCGATTGATTTGATTGATAAGAGGAATACAAATAATATTTATGTTAGTTCTCGGTGGGTACCAAAGTTAGTTTTACACAGTTTTACAGTTTAACTTTTAATTTTCATAACCTTTACTCTCACATTTCCTTGTGTTGACCGACATCTTTCGGTCATCCACTTGGCCGGTTAATGATGGAGAGAGGAAACAGAAGTGGAAATCTGAGAAAGAAAGAAAAATAGAATGTGAGTAGATACACAAGTGCCACTGTTTACAAAATTCAGATATATTTTTCGATGTGTCTATACATTAATAACACAGGTATTCAATAACGAATTGTTCTATTTAACCAAGTCCTCTGATCAAAGTTATCAAAAACTAACATCAGGTCATTTTGCGGCTGTACGGAGTTGGAAAAAGTTTATGGGCTGATGCAGACTTCTGAAATCACACATTAAAAGAAACTGTTACCAGGCTATACAGAATTATCTATCCCTTGAGTTGGATGCTTTTTATTACAACTCAACGAGTTTCCAAGCGTATTGAGAAAATGACGCACTAAGGTGTATTATATAAAGATGCGTGTGTTTTCTTAATGCAGCGTTTGTAGCAGAGAGAATATATAAGGTAACGTTTCGGTTACCGTTGCTAATATTCATTAAGATAATAATTATTATCTTAATGAATATTAGCAACGGTAACCGAAACGTTACCTTATATATTCTCTCTGCTACAAACGCNGCAGAGAGAATATATAAGGTAACGTTTCGGTTACCGTTGCTAATATTCATTAAGATAATAATTATTATACAAGAAAGTGCTTTGGGTTTTCTTATCTTTATTGTGAAGTGTGAGACACAAAACCGACTTCGAGTATGTATACATCAGCTGAGTAGAAAGCCTAAGTAGGGAATTTCTAGTGCTCAGCTTTTACAAAAAGAACAGAGAAAACATTAATATTGCACGAGCGACTGTTCCCCTTCGGAACCTCGGAATATATTATGGGTATACTTTCTACGAGATGCTTGTCAAACGCCAAACAATGCCATCTTAGGGTGGTCTCATTTCCGTCCGTTGATCCATAATTTCTCAACTTCTGATACAGCACACGAAATGGTGATAATTAGCTCCCATTTATTGAATATATACTGAAGTGTCCAATCAGGGGGTTGGTCATATAAAACAGAAAATCGGCAAAATTCAAGGGGGACGGTGGTGAGATGACATCGTCTGGGGCCATAAGTTGGTGACCTTTACCGCTTGACCACCACCACACAGGAGGTGCTTATCAAGAATGAAGTTAACGGACGTCATACTGTTGTGAGATACTATTCACTTGTGAGTAGCCCGCAAAAAGTGACCATCATCGGTTTCTTTCAGCGAGCAAAAATCAACAAGACCTGTTGGAGCACATTGCTGCTGTTCGGTATGATGATTAAAAGAATGCGCATCTAATATTGGATCGTTCCGTCAACTATCCGGTGTGCGTGTGGGAATTCCGTAACCTTGTTTCATATGAGATATTTTATTGTATGAATGACAATTTAACCATATCTCGAACTTTATTGGGAATAAACAGCTATACTGGACCAGCAGCGCCTTCTGGAATTATAATAATACGACTCTAATCGAAAATGCAGCTTCTAAGAGCTAGCTTCTCTTTGTCGCAGTTCCTCTCTACTCCTGTCCAATAATACATCTAAAGTTGGTAATCTACTTAAGTCAAATTCAAATGGCCGTTAAATAATAGTATATACCACCTTTGGTTCAGCTTGTGTATATACCAGTGATACATTTATGTCGCATTGTCACAGAAGATTGTAGGCAAAACAATAGGTAAGTGACCTGCAGCAGAACGAATGATGCGTTCCAAGCAAAAGCAACGAGAAAAAAGTTTATTTCTCGTTGTGTAGAAGTAAAATCATCTATGACATTTATAAAATACATCAATGAATCAGCAGTAACCCCAATTAATCAACCAGTTAATTGATCAGGCTGTGACTAGTTCGGTAAATTTGTATGGCTTATGCTTGGCACAGATCGACTGTTGATAATTCCAAAATCAGATTGTCAACACGTAGTGACTGACGAAGATTGGCAATAAAAGTTAATTAGGGAGTCAGCTGAAAGACTGCATTAGCTCTGCGGAAATCCAGCTTCGTTCAAAACAACCTTAGTTTACGCAGTTAGAACTTTCGTTTTTACCAATAAAATAAGCTTTCCAAGCCTGCGATGGTTCGAAAATACTTTTGATGATGCTCCTGTAATTCACGAAATCAAATTATCCTAATTGTATCATTGAAGGAGACCAGTTATGACTCAGATGATCAACCTAAATATTTGGCCACCGATCCGTCGGCTGTTTGTTTTCTGGAGTCGAGGGAAGGGCACTTGGTAACTGTACAATAAAAGTTAATAGTAAAATAAACATAAATGAATAAAAATTGGCCTTGCACCGTTTGGTGGGAACTCGGTCACCTGTGAACACCATTGTGGTCATTGAACAACACACACACGTCACGCCACCTGGTGCAGTGGTAAAAAAGCAATGTCCATGCAAAGAGGGACAGGAAAATTTCTCGCACAATAGTGGGCAATGCACCACACACACAAGAACAATAAACCTCACCTTGGCTGTCTCCGATCTAATCATCGAATTTGGTTGAGTATTCACTTGTTCACCTAGTGACATTGGTGCCAAACAATTAACACAGCTCCCATTGTATGTGGGCTGATTCAGGGTAACACACAAACTCGGGGTATTACATAAGTTATCCCTTTCCTCAACTAGTAAACCGCTTTCAGATCAAACATTTTTTATCTTATCTGAGCGATTATTTGCGGCAACAAAAACGCTATTTAATTAACTCCCTTTCTGTCAAAGCCATGTGATCGACACATCTCTATGTAAAACTAATGGATATTTCAGAAATTTTAGACATTATGAAGGTTCGTGAGGAGCCTGAACCCAAAAATGTTAACTGTCCTATAAAATCTTGCAAACCGAATCACTCAACTTAAGCCATTTCATTTTAGTCAGTAGTTGAGCTCAGGTGGTAGCCGAATAGAAGGTAATTCAGGGATTCAGAGTGGATGAATAGGGACGATGACTTGCGACTTGCTTGCGGATGGGGAGATTATTGATGTCCTACAATACAATTAAGCATAAATTTATGCTTAATTATTTAAGTGGTTCTATCTGACTAACTTTTGGTTCCTATGTTTCGTGGGTCGGTTCCGCTCCAAACACTGAGTTTCATATGCTCCGATAGTCCCGGTTCTTCATAAACATTTCAGTAATTTCGGTTACCAACATGCTTAGCTATGCACTGTGATGTCTTCTTCAGATCTGCTCTGGCGAAAACATACATCTGCAGAGATGAAAATCGATGTGGTAGGAAGATTCAATTGTCCGGCCGAAGATTATCATGAATATGTTGTAACTAATTCACGAACAATCTTCAGTGAAGTTAACGGTCTCAGTTGCGAGTAAATTACTTTCCCCTGAACTTGTAATTCCCAACAACCGATTGAAACAGATGCCAAGAAATTACCGATCATCGGATCACAATTCGTGAGCTGTTTTCAACACAGGTGAGGCCGTTCGTTCACGCATTCGTCAGTGGCTTCAACACTTGTCTGTTCCTTATGGGCGAGCGAACAGCCGGCCAAAATGTGGTTCTCAATGGGCACGCATTGGAGATGCAAGGCATTATCGACCACACTGTATTCAGTCTATTTGAAAAGCTCAATAAAGGTAGGTAAACATGATATCTTATGGTACTGGACCAGACATTGGACTTATTCAGAAGAGCAATAAAAAGCCAGAGCTTTCGATGCAAGCATATCTAGTGCGCAATGAAACCGTTACCGACCTTTTGATTACAACTGATTACAGAAAAGGAAAATTGCAGCTAGTTGAAACAATTGAAAAGGGTTATATTATTAAAGTAAAATTTATTGTTTAAACCATTCTATCTAAGAAAAATTCAGGGTCTGACTACTTCAATGGTAAACACAGCGGTTGAAGCGAACGATTCGCTGCACACAGTGCTCTCACGTTATTTCGCATTGGCATACGGATCCGACCAGATGGCTAATACAGAGCCAATTGGATTTTTCCTCCGATTCAAGTTGTCATCAGTGAGTAAATTTTCTGAGGCATTATCATCTTTTCCATCTACAGGGATACCGTGAACAAATCGACAACCCCACAACAAGTACAATGACGTTTTTCGTCTTGACCGGGGCTGAGTCACTTGCCGTAGTCCTGAGTAAACCAGAAATGGCCGATGAACAAACAAACGGAATAATTTCGCTTTACGAGCTCATTAATCAGTTGGCTTCAGGTCCGCCAGGAAAGCGAGAGTTTCCTAATTATGGGTGAGTAAGATAGTTGGCTTTTAGACAGGTATTTTTTACACCGATTTGTGGTTTTAAGGGACCCGAGATTCACAACAATTAAAGACCCACAACAAGTTGCCAGCTTTATTTTCCTCAGTGTTTTGTAAACCAAGAAGCGGTTTATTGGTTTATAACCACTGTCCGACTAAAGAGCGGCATCTTCGAGCCACGATTGAGAGCTAAGTGCCAGGTGAAAACCAAAGTTGAATGTATGCCTTCAGGGTACTAGAGAGTTCTCCAGTTAGAGGTACAATTGCTCCTTGTTAAAAATATTAAGATTCGAAACAAAGAAGGCAAGGCAGCTTAGATATCGAGGGATGTGCGATTAGACAAAATGTGATACAGCCTCTTGGTGAGTTGGGTCTCTAAGGTGGAATTTTACCAGATTGGGACATGTCGCCACTCGAGTGAACAAAACAGAATCCCATATCTTAATGACTTGTGTCACCGAGTTCCCGATTTGTCTTCTTGTCATAATCTTACCAAAAACTCCAAAAATATTCAGATATTCTGGCTAATTCATGCTCTTTTCCAAGCAAAATTACCAAACTAACCCAGGTGACAAAACTGCCCGAGTTGTGGGAGAGATCCTACAATAATTAACAGATATTGTTAATTCCGGGTTCAACTACTTATTAGTAATATAGTTATGAAGCTGAATCATGGGTGAAGGTTCAAGGTATCGCTGACGGTTACCAAGCAACACGGATCTTTTAAAATTAATGATCACTTCAAAGTCCTCATCCACACTCGGTTTTTGACAGAAAATGTTTATTAAAATACAACTTTTTCAAAGGTAAAAAGTGACGATTTAAATGGGGGAATTCGGAGCGTTTATTCGATGAAAATATTCACTGCGTACATTTACATAGATATACACAGTGCGGCCACAATTATCAAATGGCTGCGGGGGAGAATTTTCAAAGAGCTCCAATCAGTAAAAAATTTGTATACCAAAACCACTGGACAATCTGGAATAAGAATAAGTAATATCGAAGAACACCGAAGAGCAAAACCCATGTAAAGTTAAGACTGTACCAATAGCAAGGGACATTGGTTCCACAATCGCGCTTGCAAACTTGATTATTCTGCAGCCTAATTCATCATATCATGCATCTCATTGGATTTATTTGCTTTTGCCGTAAACAGCAATTCGGTAAAATTTATTCGCCGTCCGAATACGGAGTGGAGAATCGGAGATCGAATTTTTACACCACTCTTGGCTAACAGCTTCAACCTCAAGGTGATTGAAAACCTGCTAACTGTGCTTAAAAGAGAAGCGGCTATACTCGTATGAAGTAGGATGTAAAAGTCAAAAGCTAAATACCTCAAACTTGTTGGACTCAGCGCTTGTGAACCCGTATAACACCTAAGGAGGATCAACGGATTATTGACCCACATGCAGCTCATATAGTGTGCATTAATTTAAGTGTTATTTTAAAGAAAACAGTTTAGATAAAACTCTGAAGACTCCTTTTTATTATTTCACGGTTGGCTTCAGTATTACAGATTGTTAATTAAAAATTAATAAAAACCAACCTTTCTAAGTTGTTTCCTGGGGAAACCCCAAATTGTCTACCCAGGAGGTATGATCTTCACAAGCACCATAAGGCTCCACCATTAAGTACTCTGAACTTTGTGCGATTAAATAATTCAAGAGTGAAATGCCTAATGGGTTTCGAGTAGATTTGCATATATGCACCTACGCCTGATGCACATTTTTATTCATCGACGTAAGACATTACTACATAGTTGAACATAAGCCGTTCAAAAGCTGAAACTGTTTCAGTGAGAAACGGCAGGACAAGCAGATCATGAATTTTAGCAAAACAGTTCGAGAGTTTTCACTTTCCTTCTGTCAGTTTTGTGTTAAGTGATTCGGCTCTAGGGTAATAACACTCTTGAGTCCAGGGTCTGACACAGAATACCCGTTCTGGGAATGTCCAGAAAGTGTGTCAACGATGTACTGCCGAAAGACAGCTCTACACCATATAAACCTGCCTCATTTAAATCGAATTCCAGGTGTTCCGTACATTTTTCCTAGTATCATTTCAAATTTTCCAACATTTTCTGTTTTAATGAAATCCGAGGGATGGAAATTTCGTATCTAGGCTTTTTCTACAACTAAGGTATGAATAACGAAAATGATTATTGTATTACATTCAGCCGGGAAGATACTGTTAAAGCCTGGTGAGAGACGAACCTTTTGCCACGGGATCTATGAAGGTACTCCAAAGGGTCGTAGTTTTAATTTCCTTGTGGAAGGAAGAAGGATTCCTGGTCTGCATTTCAGGCGAGTGGAGACTTCTCTGGCATTCTGACATTGTCAGTCTGAAACATAGTTACAAGATCGGTACATATGCAGGATACATGTGAAACATAAACGGTTGAAAACCCACGGCTGCTCAGCTTTAGCGAATCCATTTTAATTATCGAATCCTCAATGCTAGCGTGACGTTATATGCGGATATTGTAGCTCTCGACGACATGTTGGATATGCCACTGGGTAGATTAGGGGTTATATTTTTACTCCGTATTCTGGGGGTAAATTGAGATCGGTTGGGGAATATGAAGAGCTTGGTAGTGACGTCACCAAATTATCACCCTGAGGATGTGTGTTCGGATCCCACCACCACCGCCTGACTTTCTCCATTGTGTGTTGAATGGCAGCGCTTTGATTGGCGGCTTCTTCTTCCTGAAAATTGTATTTTTGCGTATTCAATAAGAGGAAGTAAAATGGAAAAGAGAAAAGAAAATTTCAGTGGCCAGATAAACTAGAAGTATCGTTCATAGTGGTATACTCGATTTTGCCTTTCATCCTTCACGTTTGCTTTTATTTATGGACCACTGCGACGCTTCTTCGTGACACGTACGAAGCTAGCAAGAAGAAGTAAACGATGATTAGGCATACACCAACCATGGTCTCACCATCGGCAGTGTAGAGCGAATTCATTTTTGGGGGAAGGACTATCAGCATGCATGAAACCCTATGGCACACACCCTTCCACTGAGGGAGAATCGGATGTCACAGCGGCGTCACCGGTGTCGCAGGTTAGCGATATACCTGCTTGTAATGTGGTTACCTACCCATCACTACAATCAGGTGTCATCGAGCTCCCGATGTACTAGTGATGCTAAATTTTATCCCTTTTCCTTGGCTGGGTGAATATTGATCACAAATAGCCATGTATATTTCGCCAAAAAGTTTTCCACATTATGATGGCTCGGTTGACAAAGTTCGAAAGTAACGTGCAAGAAATAACATGTGGTTAATTGTCTCCTTTACCGCTCCATTTCATTTTATTTCACATACACAGCCTTTCTGTCCTAACCCGTCTATTGTCGGAAGAGTTGGGCGGGAATTGTTTTACCCGAGTGCTGTTTAGTATCCCCGCTCAGCCTGAACCGACAGTTCATGCGGTACTGGTTCACATGGCTTCGCGTCTGAACCGGATCGTGAATTGCCCAATAATGAACGATAAAGCTGCCCTGCTATTAGCTGCACGGGCAAGGGAACTATGCCGACAAGCGGTCGGTGCAACTCAGGGCGCGGTTGAACTGGCTGGTGAAGTTGGCGAAAATCCGGAAAATGCTATTCGCTACACGAACGCGGTAAGCCGTGTGGTCAGATGCAGCGCGGTGACCGTGGTTTCGACTCGCGTTGCAGTGTGTTTGCAACACGATATTTACACAGCATGATTGTTTTTATGTACGGGCTTGATAAAGCGGTAGTCATCCGATTTATTTTACGAACAATTAAAAAAACCCGAATCCCAGCCTCATTATCTACATTTAAATAGCATTGGTTCTTGTTATACTACCTATGAGCGTATCCACAAGTGAGGAAGTAGAGGCTAGTTACTAATAAATAGAGTGATGAGTCGTATTGCATCCTCTTGGCTTAATTCTCAATAATTACCACCGCTTTTGCCACTGTTGAAGTTTTTATCCTAGGTTTCATTCGTTTCTTTTTGTAAGTTGTACACGATGTAGGAGTGTTTTTTATAGATATCCAATATTTTTAGCATATGAGCTGCACCGTCCTCATGGCACTACACGAATCTCAACAAACAACAAAATTGGCTTCACCCACAGTTTACACTGAACCTGAGCAAAGGAAGGGGGTCAGTAACGGGTTGGATATTGATTCAAGGGCGTGAAATGTTGTATTGGTCGGACTACATACACAAACTGACTTTACCCCGGGAGACTGGCTACTATTTATTCAAATTTTATAGTTGATAATGCGGCCGAGATCCAGCAGTGTAAGTTCAGACACGTCAGGAGTTAAATCATGATAAAGGACTATATATATATATATATATATATATATATATTGTCTGATTCCACTGGTAGAACTCTATTCGTATAAGGTCATCGGATTCAAATATAATACAAA